CACCGAAAGAACCGAGAAGATGAATCCCTGCAGTCACGAAAGCTTTAAATCGCCACGTGAAGTGTCGAACGGCCGCTGGCAGGAGGTCACGGGACAGACCCAGCAGATGCCATGGGTCGACTAACTTGAGATGACCGGCCGATGCATCATCTGTGCCCCCTACTGTGCACACACGCACACGCACAAACACCATTAAATTTTATCTTTCACTTATGTTGGCTAAATTCCAGCTCTGGCAATCGTCCAAAACCCACAGCTTGACCCCACGTACCGTATCCCCCAGATTATAAGACGCTATGGAACGTAGGACGGTTATCTAAAACTTATGCTCGGTGTACAACGCTGCTAGCTAGCGAGTGGCACCTCATGAAGGCCGGCACGGCACGCGAAGGTGGTGGGGGACCAGCAACACAGCGCGGCCGCCTTTGTTCCACCGCAGTCTACTCATTTGAGGCTGAGTCGACCTAGGGGAGGCCTAACACCGGTTTCAGATATTAGTCACCGATATTGGCGGCGAGCGGGAATCGAATTCGTAGCAGAGCGCGCCTACGGCTGCACCACCGCTCCCCAACTAGTCAAAGATCCCCCTTGTAGCCTCAACAGACTGTTGGGGCAAGTGCTGTTAGCGAGTAGCACCTCATGAAGGCCACAACGGCACACGAGGGGGTGGGTGGCAAAGCACGACGCCCGACCGCTTTTGTCTCCCTCGTGGCGATGTTCAAACACCGCACCAGGTACTCATTTGAGGCTGAGTCGACCTAGGCGAGGCCCAGCACCGGTTCATGTAATCGTCACCGGTGTTTGTGGCCGTAAGCGCGAATCAAACTCGGGTCGCCGGGCTCTTAGCGCAGCGTAGCGCTAACCGCTGCGCCACCGCTCCCCGTCTGATCAGACACACGCACACATTATAAGACGCACGCCATACTTTTGCTTTAAAACACGGGGGGGGGGGGGGCAGAGTGCGTCATGTCATGCGGAGTACACGGTAGGCACGTGTCTCCTGCCAGCGAAGGTGTGAAACACGAGGGTGGGTTTTGGCGGGTTGATTTTTAACACGGACGAACGCTCCGAGATAACAAAGACCAAGATCCCCCATATAGCCTTAGCAGACTGTTGGGTCAAGTGCTGTTGGGGAGCACCTATGAAGGCCGGAACGGCACACGAGGCTGTGGGTGGCCAACACCACAGCCGACCGCCTTTGTCTCCCCATTGGCGATGTTTACACACCACACAAGGTACTCGTTTGAGGCTGAGTCGACCTAGGGGAGGAGGCCCAGGACCGGTTCAGATCATCGTCACGGGTGTTGGCCGTGAGCGGGAATCGAACTCGGGTCTCCGGGTTCGTAGCGCAGCGCGCTAACTGCTACACCACCGCTCCCCAACCAAAATAACACGCAGACACAACAACAACAACCGCCATTCGCGACTAAGCGGCGGTGACATCACCACGGCGCATGTGCCAGGCTATGTGCACGTTAAGGCCACGTGAAGTGTCGAACGCCCACAGGAAGGAGGTCAAGAAACAGACTCAGGTGCCATGGGTTGACTGAATGAGATGACTGGCCGATGGACCACCTGTGCCCCCTACTGTGCCAACTTGCTGTGCTTTAGCAACCCGACGCTACGCTCGTTGTTGTGAGCGTCGCTCCTCTGCCTTCCGTTGTTGTTGGAGGGCGACTGCCTCCAACTGCCCAGTAGCGTCCTTCACGAGCCTCAGCCACAGAGGCCGATCTTGACACCACTGGTACCAGTCATTGGCAAGTCCACTCAGCTCTACATCCTCTTGTACCACATCACCCCATCTCTTCTCTAGCTCGTGCCACGCTCATTTAGCCCTCTCTATCCGGCCGAACAAAAGCTGTTTAGGCATGTGGTGGCTGGGAATGCGGGCTACATGACCCAGCCAACGCAGCCTTGCTTGCCGCAGGAGCTCACCGATGGGACTTTGCCAAGATCTTTCAAATATTCATACAGACATACACACGCACGCACATACACATGCTCTCTCTCTCCTCTCCACCGATTACCATTAGCAGCGACCGAGCCTCAGTCCCGTCGTCGTTTGCACGCTCCATCTCTAACGGCCTCGTCACTCCTCGCTCCGCTCCTCACGAACAAACGACGATCCTCCAGCAGCCTCGACGAGCCGAGCTAGGGAGGGGTCGTGGTGGTGGTGGTGGGGATTGTGGCTCACCCTCCCGGCTGGGTCAAGTGTCGGAGCCGTCACCACCGCTCGCTCTCGTTGAGTTTCGTTCTCGAAACGATCGTAGTCGCGTCTCTTCCCTCTGTTAACTCTGAGAGCAGATTTATACAACATTCCCTCGCTGTTCGCGAGAGATGCGTTCCGGAGATGCTCGTAAAAAGCCAATTCCGCGGAGTTTCGTTCTCGAAACGATCGTAGTCGCATCTTTTCCCTCTGTTAACTCTGAGAGCAGATGTATTCAGCATTCCTTCGCTGTTCGCGAGAGATGCATTCTGGAGATGCTCGTAAAAAGCCAATTCCGCGGAGTTTCGTTCTCGAAACGATCGTAGTCGCGTCTTTTCCCTCTGTTAACTCTGAGAGCAGATTTATACAACATTCCCTCGCTGTTCGCGAGAGATGCGTTCCGGAGATGCTCGTAAAAAGCCAATTCCAAAGATAATGACATTGGCCTACGGAAACATTTTTTGTTGACCATTTATATTCAACACATACACAAATAAGCGATTAAATGCATGGAAATTATCTCATCAATTTCTCGAATTGCATTTTCTCTCGTCACTTTACCTCATCACTTTCTCTCTCTCGACGCAGCCGTGTAGAGTTCCCAATGTGATTCACGGATATCCAAAATCGCGGCTGGCAAGTTCGTGAATAACGAGGGAAAAACGTACGGATATTTATATGGCGACCCGAGTTCGATTCCCGCTCATGGCCAACACTGGTGTTGAGCCTCCCCTACGTCGACTCAGCCTCAAATGGGTACATGGTTCGATGTGTAAACATCGCCACTGGGAAGACAAAAGCGGCCGTGCGTGGTGCTGGCCACCCACCCTCTGGTGTGCCGTGCTGGTCTTCATTAGGTGCTACACGCTAATAGCATTTTCTGAAAACGTCTGTGAAGGCTACAATTCTGACTGTCGCCTGATGATGCTGGTTGTTGTAATTACGGGCGAAACGTCACGATACTTGAATTGTAGACGAATTGTGAACGTTGTTGTGGGTTTACCCTCCAACACACCGGTGTGCTGAACGAGTAACTCTGTTTACGTGACAAACCTTACCAATTGGCCGTGTCGGGTGGCGGCGGGTTTCACGACACATTTATATTGGCACGATCCAACTATTAAAAAAAACCCACTTCTATTATAGATCTTTGCAAGTTAACGGCTGATCCACGCGCACCTATAGAAAGGTAGCGAGCACTATCCCACCTGCACGGCAGTCAAACCGATAGATCTTTTTGTTTTTCGATTTAAAGCTTTCGTGACTGCAGGGATTCATCTTCTTGGTTCTTTCGGTAAAGTCACGTAGAATGGAAATAATAAAATAAAAAAAATAAGACATAATAAAATAATTCTCACGACGTTTCGGCCACAACGCAAGCAGCCGTCCTCAGGTCTGTCAGACGCTGTCTCCCCGACAGACCTGTTCTCCACCTGAGGACGGCTGCTTGCGTTGTGGCCGAAACGTCGTGAGAATTATTTTATTATGTTTTATTTTTATTATTTTATTATTTCCATTCTACGTGACTTTACCGAAAGAACCAAGAAGATCTTTTTGTTTGTTTAGAATTCGCAGAGCTGGAATTGTTGGGGTCAATAAACAGCGGACGACGATGGTTAGTGTTGTGCAACCCATTGGGTGACCGAGTTGAGATCACCGCCTCCACTCCAGAAGCCGGTTGAAGGCCAGACAGCCGAAACCCGGATCTCAGAGGTCAGCGAACTGACCTCTGTGTTAAGAAGGCATCAGCCAATTCATGATGATGAGTGTTTATTATTATTTTACACGCGTGGAGGAAAGCTGAGCACCCGGAAAAAACCCCAAATGCACGCGGCGCGAGGCAAGTGTGAAGGGGGAGGGGGCAACTCTCTATTACCGTACAGATGTAAGCAGATGGCGATTAGTCAGTCCACTTGCTACACTCGAACTGCCTCCACGCGGCCAATCTCGTCGGCGTGCACAGGGGAAGGGGATCTTTTTATGTTTCTATTCAATCCACGACATTTTCGCGGCGATCCAGAGCCCGCGTGTTTAGTTATTTCCGGAGGAATCTGACGAGCTAGGAAGCTCCCACGGTACCCGATTAAGAGCGAGGCGAGTCGTGGCCCCGTCTGCTTCGTGAGCGGCGGTCCAAACCCGCCCATCCGAGCCCTGTGCGATGCGCGCTCAACAACAAAAAAATCTCTTGCTTAGCTTGAACCGAGGTTCTGGGCCGTAGGTTGATTCTCCGTTTGCGAGATGAGATGGTCTTCTTGGTTCTTTCGGTAAAGTCACCTAGAAGGGAAGTAATAAAATGATACAAATAAAACATAATAAAATAATTCTCACGACGTTTCGGCCACAACGCAAGCAGCCGTCCTCAGGTGAAGACCAGGTCTGTCGGGGAGACAGCGTCTGGCAGACCTGAGGACGGCTGCTTGCGTTGTGGCCGAAACGTCGTGAGAATTATTTTATTATGTTTTATTTGTATTATTTTATACTTCCCTTCTACGTGACTTTACCGAAAGTACTAAGAAGATGAATCCCTGCAGTCACGAAAGCTTTAAATCGAGATGAGATGGCTAAAGGAGCGGTGGGGAGGCAGGAGGCAGGAGGGGGGGGGGGTAAGAGAAGGAGTGGTTTGGCAAAAGCGGCGAGGCATGGCAAAGCGATGACACTGTGCGTTTCGCGAGTTTTTCTCCCGTTCACGTCGGTAACTTTTTGTTCATATTTTTTTTCCTTCTCTTTATTTTGTACCCCCTTTTGTTGTTCTTGTTGTTGTCGTTGTTGTTGTTGTCGTTGTATATGAATGCAGAGACGAACAGAAGGCGCAGAGAGGTTCCAAGTTGGGTGGAGGAGGGATCCATCAGGCAAAAGGGAGTGGCAGTGCTTACGTTAAAAAGTATTCGTAGAGAGAGTTGGAGATGATACGGCGCACGCAACCGCACTGCATGCCAACGGCGCACGATGTGATTCTTGCATGATGCACATTGCACAGGGTGTCCGCAGAAGTATTGCGTGTCGCTCCGTTCATCATCATAATCATCAACATCATCACCATCAACATCATCACCATCAACATCATCGACGTCGTCGCCGCCGCCGTCATCATGCACGGCCCCTTTGGCAATCCACTGCTGGATGAAGGCCTGTCTAATGCCGTGACGGTCCAAACATTTTAAATAGCAAAAATACGCAAATTCCACATTTAAAAACTGTAATGATTCCGATTTAAAGCTTTCGTGACTGCAGGGATTCATCTTCTTGGTTCTTTCGGTAAAGTCACGTAGAAGGGAAATAATAAAAGAATAAATAATAAATATTATTAAATAAAATACATAATATAATAACATAATAAAATAATATAATAAATAAAATAATAATATTATTTTATTATGTAACATTTATTATTATTTTATTATTTCCCTTCTACGTGACTTTACCGAAAGAACCACGAAGATGTAATGATTCCCTTCGCGACAGAGCGCCTTAACTCCCCACGCGATATACACACATACGTAAATTGTCACTCCAAATAATAAATCACCAGCCTTTGTTAATCTACTGGCGCGACAGAGGCCCTGTTGGTCGTGGTGGTTGTTGAGTCTCAGGTGGATTGCCAAAAACAACGTCCGGTGCGATCATTCCAATCGCGTCTACCGTACACTGCCAAAAAAAATCGCTCAAGCATTTCGGTTCAATGCCACGTGGGGAAGAGATTTTGCGAATAACAAAAATTTCGCCCACGCGAGTTCATACCGCCGTCTAATTACAAACGCTTTCATTATGCATGATACTTCTACGGACACTCTTGAATTTCGTATTATTTATGAAGTGTGTGTTTCTCTATTTATGACCATTGCTTGCCCCGTCTATAATGCCACCATCGCTATCATCATCATTGTCGTTATCTATTCTTCTTATTCTTATTATTGTGTGCCCTTAGGCAACATCTCAAGCATAAGAAGCCATTTGCACAGATGCTGAGAACTTTTCTTTGCATGAATACATTTGGCAAAAAAAACGACCATTCAAAAGTACACAAACGATAATACATACTAATAATTCACGTGTAATTGGCAGTTCGTTTGTCAATGCGCTGCTGGACGAAGGGCCTCGCCACGCCGCGTTGGGCGTGCAAATTGTTTCATCATGTCCGAGTGGGGTGGAGAGGCGGTGGGGACATAATTTTGGCGGAAAAAAAATTGTTCATTGGAAATAAATTACTTTTTATGCCATAAAATAGTATCTAAAATGAACGCATCTATTTATTGACAATTTTACATTTATCAATTTGCAATGGCATTCAATGGCCGTCTAAAGATTGTCTCTGCCAGTGTGCTAACCACTGTGCCACCGCTCCACCAAATATTGATATAATAGTGCAAACTAAAATTTTGGTCACGTTCTTTCAAACAAAAACCGCACCATTACATTGCGACAAAAACTATTTTAACATTATAATCATCTTGTGATACTCACTAATCAAACATTTTGTAACGATGCATAGCATCAGCAATTCACATTGATTCTTAAGCTCGCGATTGCATGCATTGGATCGCCTGCGTAAGAATCAATGTTTTTTATTAATAGAAATTTAAAAAATCCCGATCATCTATCTCTGTCGGGTTGGAGCGGTGGCGCAGCGGTTAGCGCAGTGCGCAAAAAAAACAACTCGGAAAACCGAGTCCAATTTCTGGCCACGGCTAACATGAGTGGCGATTGATACCTGAACCTTCCCCAGGCAAAATCCCCCCTCCCCCCCGCCCCCCCCCCCCCACATTGGCCAATGTGGTGAAGTATGGTGAAACACCCCCCCCCCCAAACCACAGCATGGGGGAAGGGGGAGTAAGCACTTTTATGCAACAGTGCATTAATAAAGAGCTGCTACATTATGCATTCTATTACGATTATTATCGCTGACTTAACACTTTCGTGACTGCAGGAATTCATATTCTTTGGTGCTTTCGGTAAAGTCACGTGGATAGAAAATAATAAAATAAGGTGGATGAAGACCGCTTGTGTTGTGATCGAAATGTCGTGGGTTTTTTGCTTTCAAAATTTTATTTTTTTATTTAATTTAATTTTAATTTTCTACCCACGTGACTTTACCGAAAAAAAACCAAATAATATTATCGCTGTTGCCGTTGCACGCCAATGGGTTGTCATGATCCCTCCCGCCACCATAGGCCGGTACATTCATCGCGATGTTTAACAAAACAACAAAAAAAGATTTTTCAATCGTATCGCGATCTTGAATCGCGACAATTTCATTCACTCGCAACGTTGGCGGGGTCGAGTGCACTGACGGGGAGCATAGAAACTGCCTTAATCATCATAAGTCACTCAACGCGGCCACTTCTCAGTAATAAGGCTCTTCGTGGTCCCCGTCATAGGAACGTGGAATCTCCACCACCGGCTCAGAACCACCGATAGGGACGAGTTTTCTGCTCGGAGCTCATTCGAAGTGCGTACACGCACGGTCTACTTTGTCACTCCACTGCCGGATGAGGGCCTCCCCACGCCTTGCTGTTCGTGGGGGGGGGGAGGGGGGGCTATTTGACTATACTTCACTACGCTGGGCAGTGCTCTTGGTGAAGGCGGGAAGCATAAACCGTGGGAGCGTAGATGGAGTGCAGTACAACACGAGTTTTTGTGGCACTGTCCTCTGCTGCCCACCACGTAGCCACCACCCTCCCCCACGAGTAGCCGACAGTGACCTGTCATGCATGATGGTAGCCCATCAAAGCACTACCCAGGCCTTGCACATCCAAACTTCCGAGATCTGTGCGCGGGTGATTTGGTCGTAGCCAACATTTGAAAGATACAAATTCGTTTTCATTTTTCCCCGTTTGTTTGAAGATCCAGGGAGGTAAATGGTTCAAGGTGCAGCCCTGCAATTGCTTGCCTCACGCCACTGCTGCTGAAAGGGCCCTCTAATAAGATTACGAGAGGGTGCATATTTATTCAATACTCGAGGAATCCGATGCGCTATAAAGCTCTTTTTCACACGTGTCAAGTTTAACGAGGAGGGGTTAATTTTTTGGGGCAACTCTTTCATGCCGGCCAGACATCTTGGAAGAGGTGGGAGCACCCACGTTTTACCCCACCACCACACGCGACCCACCTAACCGACTGAACTGGAAGAGAGCGGATTAACCAAAACAAAAACGACATCGTGAACTCCCCCGTGGCACGAGGCCGGGATCCCACTCCCACCGAACGATCGGCCGCGGCGAGACCGAAATCCGGCCGCGGCGGTGCGAACCTTCCGTGTCGCAGGGAGCGGTCGCGCCGAGATCGACTTCGCTTTGCAGCGGAGACGGAGCCTCGATCCGCTCGGTCGGCCACTTTTGTAGCGGCGACGGCGGCCGCGTGGACGCGAGATTTTTATCCAAGCCTCGATCGGGGGGGGGGAGGACGACCTCGTACGGGCCCCCCTCCCTTCCTTTTTGTTCCAATTTTCTCGCCTCGCGGGGCGCGCGACGATTGAATGTTTTTTTTGGTTGCGGGAGATTTAGCGAGATGTGACACCAGCCGATTGTCCGCTCGGTGGGAGTTGGAAGCTCGTGACGCCGATAAATTCGGATCGGCGTTGGTGGGGGGGGGGGGAGAGATTTGGCGCAACAATTCCAGGCCGGGCCGTCAATGACGCCTTTGGCAGCAGTCCGAGCGAGGGTATCTCCTATTTGGACACGTGCTAGGAGGCTTTCGCGACTAACGTCATCCATAATAGAGTTTTTTTTAGTGGGGTTAGATCGCGTACATATGTAAATGCGTCGTTAAACCCGCCACCACCCGACACAGCTCAATTAGTAAGGTTTGTCACGTGCGCAAAAAAAAACGTGCCAATTCGTTACGAGTACAGCACGCCGGTGTGTTGGAGAGCAAATGTGTACTCAGATTGTAAATGTTGTGGATTTGCTCTCCAACACAGCGGTGTGCTGCTGTACTAGTAACTAGTGGGCACGTTCTGTTTACGTGACAAACCTCACTAACTGGGATGTGTCGGTTGGTGGCGGGGTTAACGACACATTTATATATTGACGCGATCTAACCCAAACCACCTGTATTATGGAGGTATCATTTTTAAGTTTTCGTGACTGCAAGGATCCATACTCTTTGGTTCTTTCGGTAAAGTCACGTAGGTGAAAAAAGAATAAAATAAAACTAAGAAAATAAAAATGAAAAAGAAATAAATACAATCACGACGTTTCGATTGCAACACAAGCAATCATCATCAGGTGTGACAACCACAGCAATATTTTTTTCATTGATTTTATTAAAATTTTCAACTACGTGACTTTACCGAAGGAACCAAAGAGTATGGAGGTATTCCCACGTTTAAAGCGTCATATCGCCGCCTACAGATAACCAACGCGTTGATTTTGCAAGACGGTGGTCTGCTCCAAGCAAGGGGGTGGGGGAGCGATCTCTTTTGAAACGTCTCCACCGTCGGCATTTATTTATTTATTATCTTCCTCCCGTTCTCCAATTTTACGACAATTTTAGCGGCGGAGTTGCTGGCTCACCCTGCGACCCGTGCTCGGGTGAGCATGCCGACAGCTGCCCTACAATGCGACCACCCGTCAAATAATAGCAATAATTAGTGATCATTTTTTTAAATAAAAGTAATAATAAAAGTAAAATAAAATAAAAATAAAATATATAAATAAACTATTTTATTTTAATTTTATTTTACTTTTATTATTATAAAGTAAAAGAAAATATAAATAAAATATAAAATATTTGATTTTTATTTTATTTTACTTTTATTAATTTAAATTTTTTTACCTACGTGACTTTACCGAAAAAACCAAGAATATGAATCCTTGCAGTCACGAAAGCTTCAAATCTAGAATTCGTGAGAAACAAAAAAGTACAAAAAAACCGCAATCAAACTCGAACAACTTCTATTGCACCGGTCGTGCACGTGACACCCAGGGCAAGGTCTTACGTGAGCAGGCAACCAGCCCCCCACCCCCCCACATACTCAACTCAGCCTTGAAATCAGCAGCCGATGCTGCCAGTGTGCGAACGGCATTGGGTAGAGTGGTAGACAAAAGACGGCGTGGTGCCGTGGTGCTTGCCACGCCGCCACCCGTTGCGTCGAATGTGCTATGACACAATTTCACTCGCTCTCCCCGACAAATCTGTTACGGCTATGCGACGCGTACGCGTGTGCTGTGTGTGGTACTAGAAGTGGGGAGCGGCGGTGCAGCGGTTAGCGCTACGCTGGCGATCCGAGTTCGATTTCCGCTCACGGCCAACGCCGACGTGACGATTAT